AGTACCATACTCTGCACCTGCTGTTCTCTTGCGGCTACTTGTTTGTCTCAAAGCAGAACCGCCTGTGTGTGCTGTAAACCAAAACGAACACCTGTAATGACTCGTCACCTTTGAGTTTCCGTTTCTCTTCTCACAGCTGCTCAAATCTCAGTTCAGTTTCAAACCGCAAACTTTCATTCAAGAGCTTTGTGTTTTTTAATCTGCTCCTAATTAGCGGTGATGATAAAGTGTTGTGTCTTAATTGAACTTTAAGTTTGACTCTATTTGTTGTATCTGTATAAACACATCAGTAATCATTTCAGTGGGTATGAGTTGATCAAACAGGGAAACACATAAAGTATTTTAAAGAAGTCTCACACACTTTGCGTCTCACTATGATTAAAGGAATTATAATAAATCTGTGCAAAAAGGAACATTTTAAACTTCCTTCAGTCCGACCCAAATAAATCTCTGCTTCACGACTTTAATATCTCCAAGAGTTAATGTAATATAATTCCCTGTAAATACTCTAAGTCTAAAACCAAGCTGTGCAGAAAGATATGAGAAGTAAAGACGAGACTCTGAAATGTTTCCTCTGCTCCCTGGAGAGTGAGTCAGTTTCACTCTGATGCAGAAAGAGTGGGTTACTCAAATCTCACCAAAAACACAACAGCGTTATTAATATCTGTGAACAATGAGAAGTACTTAGTCACACCTGGAGTACATTCACAAGCTACCCTGCAGTATACAAAGTCATTCAAACTAGCTGCACCTTTACCAGCTTTGAGAACACTTTCATGATCAATCATTATAAAACATATCATATATATTATTCTGAAATGGACCAATCTGCACAATGACTACTTTTACTGTGGCTACTTTCACTATATTTTGATGATAATACTTTTATACTTTTACTTGAGGAACATTTTGAATGCAGGACTTTTACTGTACTGTAGGACTTTTACAGTGTAAGCTAGTCGGCAAGGCTCAAGAAGCTTGCTCTTCTCTTTCTGTCGAGGATAGTTTAGTGTATGAGAATGTTAAAGGTGCTGTTCTCAGGGCATATGAGCTTGTGCCTGAGGCCTACAGGCAGCGTTTTCGCGGCCTGATAAAAACTTCTGGCCAAACTTACGTGGACTTCGCGAGGGAGAAGAAAGTCCTCTTTGACAGGTGGTGTAGAGCTTGTAAAGCTGACGACATTACTTCAGTGTGTGAGCTAATGATGTTAGAGGAGTTTAAGAACTGTGTGCCTGAGCGTACGGTAGTCTACCTGAACGAGCAGAAAGTAACTACCCTTCAGCAGGCTGCCACTCTGGCAGACGAGTTTGCACTGATACACAAGAGCGTTTTTTTTTTCAGCGTGATCCTCCTCAGCGAGACACTTATCGTAGAGCTCCTGACAATTACGTTCCCTGTGCCAGTGTTCCAGTGTTAGATCCCAGGCTAAACAGAGCTTGCTTTTTTTGTCATGACCCAGGTCATGTGATAGCAGACTGTGCAGGTCGGAAGCGAGAGCAGACAGCGGCTGGCAAGCACTTAGAGGGGGTGGGATTGGTTACAGCAGTGTGTCATAGTGGACGGGCCACTGTTAACAAAGGGCCTGATGAGTGTTTGAAACCGTTCATCTCCACTGCTTTTGTCTCTCTGTCAGGAAAGGTGGAGGACCAGCGGCAGGTCACGGTGTTACGAGACAGTGGTGGCTCACAGTCGTTCATTCTTGCCAGTGTTCTGCCCTTGAGTGCTGAGTCTGCCTGTGATGCAAGTGCGGTGGAAAGAGGTATTGAGATGGGTTGTGTGCCTGCACCTCTTCACAAGATCCAGGTACAGTCTAAACTGGCTACTGGTTTCTTTCCAGTTGCTGTGCTGCCCAAGTTTCCTGTCGACGGAGTGGATTTCATAATGGGTAACGATATAGCCGGGGGTAAAGTGTATCCTACTGCTGAAGTTGTAAGGCAAGGCAAGGCAAGGCAAGTTTATTTATATAGCACCTTTCAACACAAGGTAATTCAAAGTGCTTTACAAAAATGGAAGACATTTTAAAAATGGCATTTAAAATCAGTCATTAAAAAGGAAAGATAATAAAATAAACATTAAAGAAAAATACATGGATTAAAAGTTAAAAGTTACAGTGCAGTTTAAGATGTGAATAGTTCAATTAAAAGCAGCGGCAAAAAGAAAAGTCTTCAGCCTGGATTTAAAAGTAGTAAGAGTTTGCAGCGGACCTGCAGGTTTCTGGGAGTTTGTTCCAGATATTCGGAGCATAATAACTGAATGCTGCTTTACCATGTTTAGTTCTGACTCTGGGGACAGAAAGCTGACGTTTCAATCCCTGGTGCTGCAGGTGGTGACCTAGCTCAGACTCATCCGGAGGTGTTTGCAGGTGGTGTTTTGACCAGAACTCGAATGGTCCCAAGAGATTATGTTTCTTTTGTCTTGATCCTGGTCATCTAGTGGCAGGGTGTGTAGCTTGGAAGCAGCAGGTGGCAGCTTCCAAGCAGTCTACGGAAAAGTCAAAAGACCAGCACCCAGACTACAATATCGTCATCAAGCACAAGAGGGGAGCAGATAATGTGGTGGCCGATGTACTGTACTGTGGGTGAGATTACGATTACGATGGGTCACGATCATGTCCAATAGTCTGAGTGTTTTTGGTAACTGTGGCCAAACACTTGTTTGGTTTTATGGGGGGGGGTGTTACGTGCCGTAGTGTTTGTGTGTGTCTTTCTCTCTCTCCCTCTGATTCTCCAGGTGCAGCCTGATTGTCTCCAGGTGCAGCCTCTCTCCCAGGTGCTCCAAATCCCCAATCAGGGCCTTCCATAT